CTCCTTAAGAGGGCTTTGTGTTCCACATCCTGCCAAAGTCTGCACAGGAGAGCCTTCAGGAACCCTCCTTCACCCTCAGGCCAATAATTCCTATAACTCTCAGCCAGCTCATGATGGGAGCTGTGGAAAGAAGGGAGATGGTGCATTTTTGAGATTGCTCTGGGCACCCCTTTCTTCACCCTATTCTCAAATGGATATTTATTTATATTTTTGCAGGTATTAAAGGCAGCGATTCCTTTGCACGTGCTGTCATTTCTTGCTTTTAGGACAGGCCCATTGGCTGGGTCTTTCCAGCTTCTGTTGCCCCTGCTGTTTGCCCGGAGGGCTGTCAGCTTCCTGCAGCCTTGAGATGGTAATGCACATTCTCAAGCGTCTGCCGTTAAGTTAAGGGAAAGGGAGCTGCGGGGACCAGGCTGAGCTGTTTTATTCAATGGTGGAAGGCTGGGGGAGAGGAGACGCAGCACCCTTTCTTTTGGCTTGAATGGGAAGCCATCGTCTGAGGACCAAATATTGAACAGCAGGAGTAAAAGCCACAGTCCGTAGCCTGTGATACTTCTGCTTTCCCAGTGAAATGCAGGTAGAGTGGTCACTGAGCTGGAGGCTCTAAGGCCCTTAATCTTTGCAAGCATAGATTAAGGCTTCAATCTGCTGATTAAAAATTGTGGGCAGTAACAGCGGGAAGGCCTGCACTGCCAGGTAGGTTTGTCAAGCTTGGTTCCCTCCAAAGGTGGTTTATAGTGACTGTGCTGCCAGGGATGATGGCCCTTGCAGCCCTACCCCTTTGCAGGATGTGAGGCTGGAGAAGGTGAAAAGCAGTTTTTTCCTTGGATAGTCTGAAGAACTCGCGTGCTGCATTAGTCGTCTGTTAAACTGGCTAAGCAATTCCCTGTTTGCCACCCTGGATCAAGCCCTTGGGCTCCTCCCTTGATCTCTGAGAAGGGGGGAAAGGCTGCAGGTCAGGATCTCCACTCTCTGTTTAAATACCCTTTAAATCAGTCCCAAATCAAGGGGTTTCTCCTAAGGCCAGTTTGAAGCGGGAAGGTTCTCTGGAGTTTCTCTGGGAGGAAGGCATCAATGGTGACAGTTGGTGATCTTGATTTGCGGGTGCCAGCTTTCACCCCCTTCCAGGAGCCGGCGGATGTAGTGGGAGGCCCCCAAAAGAATGTGTCCGAACCCTTGCATGACAGCAGAAGCCACTCGCAGGATCTCCCTGGGGGGAAGGAAAAGGAAGAGAGGGATTTCCATCAAAATAATCCATAAACATAAAGAACTGTTAAAAGCAGTGTTTCTCAACCGTGGCAGCTTGAAGACGTCTGCACTTCAACTTCCAGAACTCCCCAGCCAGCCATGCTGAGCTGAAGTCCAGACATCTTCAAGTTGCCAAGGTTGAGAAACGTTGGTTAAAAGTTAAGCCCTTGTCTAGCTCAAAAATGCTAAGCAGGCTTGGATTTGGAGAGTACTTGGGTGGGAGGCACCAGCAATTTGAGGGGACAGGCTGTGATAGGAAATCAAAAAGTGTAATGGGTAGAAGGAATGACCTTGAGGAACAGGAGGAAGAGCCTCTACCAGGACAAAGGTCAAGATAAAAGAAACCTGAGCCCAGGGCAGAACTGTAACCTGAGAAAGCGACTCAGGCAAGACCCTCCCTAGTTCTCACAAAGGTAAAGGGAGGGAGGGGGAAGCACATTCAGACTTGCGAGATTCTATTACATTATAATAAAAGTATTAGTCTGCATGGGCTTGGTTTCCTAGTCTGGTCTACCTCAAAGGGCTGACAGAGAAAGCAATGCCAGCACACTTCTGTATTGTTGCCAGTGGAAGTGTTGAAATCACCAGGAATCGAGCTGGACTTGAAGGAGCTTTCACTCTAGTTTTGAACTTACCCTCCCAAACCTGAACGAGGGCCAGGAACAAAAGAGCATCCTTTTCCTAAAGGATGCCAAATTGGTGGGGTGGGGATTAAGCAAGGCTTAAAAGCATGTTGGAGTAAGGCGTCCTTCAACAGACATTGCATGTGTTGATGAAGAGGATCGTCCTAACCCATCTGGGGAGAAGGGGCTTCGGTCTGGACTGTCCCAAATTATGAACAGTGCAACAGATAGAAATGAAGGAGCTGAATGAGTGGAAACATTGACTGGGCCAACTGGGAGATGGATTTATCATTGTACAGTAGTCCGCGCTTAATGACCACAATAGGGATAGGAAACTTGGTCATTAAGTGGGGTGATCATTAAGCGAGTCACCACGTGACGGACCTGATTTTACGACCATTTTTACAATGGTCGTTAAGTGAATTACTGCATCGTTAAGCAAATCATGTCGTTAAAGCGAATCCAGCTTCCCCAATGGACGGTTTTTGCTGGAATTCACTTAATGTCCATGTGATTCACTTAACGACCATGTGATTTGCTTAATTGCAGTGATTTGCTTAACTGTTGTAAAAAAGGTTGCAAATCATGATCATGTGACCATGGGGGGGTGCAACGGTTGTAAGCATGAGTACAGGTCGTAAAGCACTTTTTCTGAGGCCGTTATAACTTTGAATGGTCTTTAAACGAGCGGTTGTTAAGCAAGGACTACCTGTAATAGCCAGAGAATCTCTTGCACCAATTTTGCCTTCTCTCGCGTTTCTGTAAAAAGGCTCTCATGTTCTTTTATGGAGGGGGTTGTGAATTGGGGGGAACTGGTGTTTGGAAAAGCTCTTGGGCCATCCCCAACCCCCGCCCCCCCCGGCATGTTCTCCCAGGAAGTGCAAGGAAACCAGGCGCCAGGCTCACCGCAACACCTTCTTGGGCCCCAGGCACTTGAAGTCGCAGCTCATCGAATAGAGACCGTAGAAGGTGGCCGAGATGTTCAGGCTGCCGAAAAGGTCGCGCGGGTTGAGCTTGTAGACGTCAAACGTGATGCGGGCGATATCCCGGCTGTTTTGAGGCTTGTGCCGGATCAGGCTGTACGACTGACTGGAGCTCTGGGGGAGAGAAGAGGTTGTATTACTGAATGCCAGTGGGGTGCGATCTGGATGGGCTGGGACCACTCCCAACTGGCTGGGAATTCTGGGTCTTGCTGTCCTGGAACATCTGGAAGGGGAAGGTAGTTGTAAGTTCCTGCTCTTTGCCTCTTGCAGGACAGTAACTTGCTTTGTCCCAGTGAACCTTTAAGGTGCCAGCTGATCTTTCCCAAGAAGAGCTTTTACTAGTAATGGCATTTTAGTTTTAACTTAGGGACACTTTATTTATTTATTTTAAAAAACGGTATCAGTTATCCTTTTGACAATTTGTGGGTCTGGGTGGCATAAAAGAATAAATACAAAAGGAAAGTTGAGATCCAAAAAAGAAAAATAAGTACCACAAAAAACAAACCCTCAGACCGAAAAAAATCCTCCCGTGCTCTTTTATCAGCTACTTTTACTGTGGTTTGGGTTTGTTAAAAAAAAAAAATGCTTCAAAGGGATTTCCTGCCAGTGCTATGATTCTATCCTGGTTTACCACAAGTGACAACTGGGACCTTAGCTTGCCACAGAAAACCCAGATTTGTGAGGAAATAATGGCAGAGAAGCCTGGCGACGTTGGAGTCGGACCTTGCCATTGCCGAAATCGATCTAAAACACCGACGGCCCAGGATTTATTTCTCGCATTTGTACGCTACCAGCTTCCCAAGACTCCTTGGTCACAGACTAACATTGTAAGAAAGCAAATTGTAACTGAATGTTGAAAAAACTCCCTAAGACTGGGAGCATTTTGCGAATGGGCATGAGAGACCAGAGAAGTGATGGGTTCTCTTTCCCTGGAGGGGTTCAAGCGGAGCGTTGGTGACCCTTTATTTGGATTTTTGCACGGAGCTGGGGGTTGGACTTGATGGCCTCACGAGATCCTTCCAACTCCCTATGTTCACACAGCATGCTTATCTGGCTTGGCAGAGGACCTCTGGCTGAATTCCCAAAACCAGGTGAGCATGGTTAATTTTGATCTAGCAGACCTAGCATCAAGCCCATCCCAGCTTCCAAAGGCTGGTTGGTTTTTTGTGGGTCAGCATCTCCCTATAGAAATTTTTCACCCCTCTTTCAGGCCATGCCTGACTTGGTATTCAACACATCCTAATGTTCGCTTTGTCATCTGGTTGACCTGTTCCTTTGCACCCAAGCCCAGCGCCATGCTCCCTGACAGCAATGTTTCTCAACCTTGACACCTTGAAGATGGATGGACTTCATCCATCTTGCTGGCTGGGGAATTCTGGGAGTTGAAGTCCACCCATCTCCAAGGTGTCAAGGTTGAGAAACAGTGCCTTACAGTCAAGCTTTCAGCAGCTACTTAAACCCAAAAGCAGCATCCTCAGCATCCTCTTTAACTGGACGAAATGAAAGCAAAAAGTATTATTTCACCGAATTTATTCTAGCCACCCAGGGTCCGTTGGAATGGGCAGCTGTAATAAATTTAGCAAAATAACCACAAGAAGAACGGGGTTAGGCTATAGCAATTTGGGCAACTGGTTCACTTCAGGTCACCCTGTTATGTTTAAGTCATATGGCCAAAGCTTTCTCAAGCTCCTTGCTCAACTCCTGTTGCATCAACGCCCGTTGATGCCCTGGGGAGGTGGCTGTCCATTTTCCTAACAAAGGAGGAATGCAGCAATGTTCTGTTTTGTAACCTACGACCCCCTTTTCCAAGAGCTGGGGATTCGATGACCCTCACCCTGCTGTGGCTCCATTTCTGCCCTTTCTCTAGCACCATCAAGGCGGTGTTGTCATCCAGGACTTGGAAGAATTCCTCCGTCTCAACCAGGGTGCCGTCTTCTTCCAGCACCAAGAAGACCATGCCGGATAGTAAGAGAGTCTCTTTTGCCTGAAAAAGAAGAAACCGAAGAAGCTGAAGCACAGAGGCCAAAGAGAACCCCCCCCACTGCTTTTTTCATGCAAGGGAAACTTTAAATTTATTTCCCAAGATCATCTGTCCATTTTGCAGGTGGGAAAAGAGCGGTCGAGTTGGGGTGAGCGGTTGCAAGTTCACGGTGAGCCAGCCAAGGGCAGGAGCTGGCTTCCAAAACAGGAGGGGGGCGGACATTTTCTGGGAGGAAACGAAGCATGGCCACCTTGTTGAGTAACTCTTCCAACGTGCCTGCCATGAGGCCCTTGCGGACATTACGGTTGTGGTTGCACACTCGGAACGGCCGTTGGGGCGGAGGGCTTGATGTCCAGACCCGCCGGGAGATTTCTGAGCCTGCACTGGAGACCGACCTGGGTTCAGGGAGAAAGGAGAAATCATTTGGCTGAGCGGTGGCTGAGTATCAGGGCATGCGCAGAGTGTCCGGCGAAAAGCACGCCTTCCACTTCTATCACTAAGAACGCTCCTCTCCAAGACTGCACGTCCCTGATTTTTGAGATTAGCTTTAACGAGGCTCCCCAAACAGCTACAATTAATCAGGACTACGTGGAGCTCTTTATTACGGCTCCTGTTCCTTGGCAGTTGATGTCATAGTCCAAATTCCAGGCACTTTTCTCCAGAAAGCGGGGGCAGAAGTAGCGGTGGAATAGCCATCAAGTCCAGCTTAAGTCTCGCTGACTGCACAGACATGTCCGTGTAGCAGTGATACACAAGTGATTCACCCTTGAGTTTTTTTACCTTCTGGCCCAGCTTCTGGAGTTCTGGTGGTCTCCCATCCAAGTACTAACCAAGCCAGGCCCTACTTCGCGTTTGTGAAATCAGCCAAGATTTGAGCACTGCTGCTATTGAGCTGGGCTTAGTAAGGCCCTTTAATCTGAAAAGGTAACTTCATATTTCTTGAATTGGCATGATATGAATAGTTACTTCTCTCCCCTTTTATTCTTGCTATAAAAGTAGAGTGGATTCAGGACTGAGATCTTGTTCTGTTGGCCAATCAGTTTCAAACTTCCACATCAACTGTGTCCCCAAAGGTTGCAGGGTCGAGCCCTCTTCAGGGGTTAGCCGGCTCACTGCCAGGACATTTCTCTTTCAGGATACTCACATTATTCCATCCCCTCCTCGGGTTTCCATCTCTCTCCCCTTTCAGCTCCAACAGGCTCCCTAACGGAACTGACATTCTGCTTAATCTGTTCCTGAAACAAGCCATTTTCTGGGCCTCTTGAACCATAAATGGAGCAACTAGACCAGGTTTGTATAACACACTCTGCTCCCTTCCCAAGTCACAACCCCTAAGCCAGATGAACACGGATCAAGCTTAGCACACTGTGTGAACCCAGCTGTGAAAGTTTCCCCCCAGCCCGTCTACTTGTTTCCAGCTGCTTTCCTGCACACAGGCGGATGGATCCCCCCTCCCGATCCTCATGTCGGCTGCTGTAACCCTGTGAACAGACGGTCTCTGAGATGTGGATCAAAGTGACCACAAAATAAGGCACAGGAGTTGTGCTCATGTTGGGAACTAGCTGGAGAAACCAGGCTGATAAGGTCCCGTGAAGCCGAGAGTGCCAACTGCAACCCCTCCAGCCCCGTGCCCCCAAACACTCACTTCAACAAAGCTGAGGGGGCCAAGGCATTGATAAGCTCCATGGTGCCCAAGGCAGGGGCTGATGGGCTCCCGATCAAAGATGTTCCTTTTTCCTGGCTTCCTCAGCTCTTTTTGTGTTGAGTTGCAAAGGGGACAACCTGCCCTGTTCGGTCTATCTGGACTCTGGACCGTACATTTGTGGGCAGGACCGTGCGTGTGTTTATGTGCATGCGGGTGTGTGTGTGGAAGGCATAGTACAAATTCCAAGGTGAGCAGCCAGAGGCAAAACAGATAATGCACCGGGGGATATTCTTGTGTTGGCCGCTGACTGTTTTGACTTTCTACCCTGACCAAGCCATTGCTTTTGCAGAGGGAGAACACCCAACATTGATAAGAGGAACAAGAAGAAACTTCTTTTGTTTTTAAACTTAGTTAAAATTTTATTTTTTAAAAAATCAACAGGGTGTATATAGTCATGGAAAAATTGTGCGTCAGACAGCGGCGCTGTATTAAAAACCAACCAATAATAGTGTAAGAAAAGGACAGAGGGACAAATTTTAACACTTCTCTGGATGCCGTGCTATACTATATTTAGGTGTGTGCGTGTGTCAAAGAAGTGGTTGAGTCCAGGCCAAAAACAAAATTAGATTTAATTATAGTGTTGTTAAATAAATGTACTATAGTGAATATAATTGACTCTCCACATACAGTATTTTAAAGATTTTGTTGGGTAGTCACTAGGTGGCAGCACCCCACTAATTTTGACTCTCTGAAAGGTAAGCAGAGTCAGGCCCAGAGCTGTACTGTTAAACTGGAAAAAGACGCTTTCTTGACGTCACGAGGGCTCACTTTAACTTGGAGGAGATTTCATCGTTACCTTGGTTCTATCAGATTCAAGATTACAGCTTGGTGGCAAACAGACACAGCCAAAGCTTTCCAGACTGTACTCAATAGAGAAAAGAGTCTGCCAGGAGGGGCTGTTCATGGAATCCTACAATGGTGGAGTTGGAAGGGATCGTGAAGGTCATCCAGTCCAACCTTCTGCCAGGTGCAGGAAAACCAAACCATCCACGAGAGGTGCCTGTCCAGCCTCTTCTTTAAAAACCTCCAGGGATGGAGCACCCACAACCTCGATAGGTGGACTGTTCCACTGCTGTGCAGATCTTACCATCAGGACGTTTTTCCTTATATTTAAAGATATTTAGGTGGCTGCAACTTGTACGCATTATTCCTGGTCCTCATTTCTGTCCATAGAAAATAGTCCTTGACCGTCTTCCCTATGGTATTCTTTTGTGCACCTGAACATGGCTGTTCTCAATCTTCTTTCCTCTAGAGTGAACATCCCAAGTTCCTTCATTCTCGAGTCCCCGGATCATCTTTGTTACTGTCCCCTGAACCCTCTCTAACCTGTCCATACCATTCTGGAACTGTATAGACCCTCCAGGTATGGTTTCATCGGTGCAGAGCAGAGAGGGACAATGACTTCATGTGTCCCTGATACAATGCTGCTTCTAATGCAGCCCAGACCTGCATTAATCCTTTTAGCGGCTGTCTCACACTACTGGCTCATGTTCAGCTGGTTGTCACTGACCATGCCCGGGTCCTCAGATGTAGTGCTTCCACCCCACAAATCCCTTACCTTGTATACGTGCCC